CTTCAACATTCTTAAATGACTGTACCACTTCAGAGTTGAAAAATTATCCATTTGAGCCATGTAGTGAGTCTTCATTGCAGTCACAGGAAAAGGATTTGCATGTGGAGCTAGGCTTCTGCCTTCAGATCAGAATAGGAGGAATAGTTTATGTCATACACTGCATGGGGAAACAGGGCAGGTGATCAACTGCTGGAGTCACCATTATGAAAAAGGTCCTGATTGTGGGAGGAGGAGTGAATTTATGATTTCCCAGCCAGCATCTTTTAATCAATGTCACATGAATGGACACCAACCAGATAGGTGGGGTACAGTTTGTGATTGTTAACTTGAGTGAAAGAATATTGAATTTCCAGTTAGGGAACTCTCCAATGCAGATCCGTTGAAGCCTTCAATCCATCCAAAAGGCCATAGTTCCAGATCATTACCAGCTCACCCAAGCATATTTCCGGCTTTAGAGTAGGGCTCTGTTTTATCATCAATACTTCAGGCCCTTAGGGAAAGCTCCTAAAGCCTATCCAGCCTGTTACTTGCTCTCCCAAGAATATTCCTCCTCCATGCATGAGGGCCTAAGTGAAAACCTTGTCTGATTAGGTCAGTCCTTACAACAACAATATTTTACTTTCTAAATAGTTGTGATTTGGTGTCATATTGCCCATCTCTCAAAATGATTCTTTTCCCAAGAAGAAAACTGGACCTTTATGACACACCATGCCTTAAGGTTGGTTGTGACCCTGTAATGCCTCCTTGAGCAGCGTGTTTGAGGCCTGCTGTTTGATACAGGGATGGGCCTAGTGGCTGGTTGTAAATCAAGAGTGTCTCTTTGTAATGGTTTGGAGCCAAATGTGGAGACAATTCTGGTGACTAAATCTACCTTGTAGCATTCTAATCTCTAACAGTCCTGGTTAACATACTACTTATCTTTGGGGTGTTTTAGAGGGAGCTTTTGCTCAACTAAGTTGTGCTTTGTGAGCCTTATTATTTCCTAAGCTTGATAAATCCTTTATATCACCAGTTCTACTCTTCTATATCACAGCTTAGTAATGGAGTACTACCCAATACATGAGATGTTTTTTTTTTTTTTTTACAACATCCGCAAAATTAACTATAAATGTATTTTACATGTAAAGGTTAAATGTAAATCTCTGAATGCCTAAAAGCTACTGGAGAAACTAGGCCTCTCCAAATTTGGCAACCTGCCTTTTATGGATGTACCCGAAGGGTCCAGGAATATACAACTATAAAATTATAAGCTTAAGAGATAAAGAATGACAATCATCAACTCTAAAGGTTAACACTTCACAATGGCTGTCTGCTTTACAGCCAGCTTCTCTGTCAACAACTAGGGTTAACTTTTAATCCCCTTGCCCCTTATAGCCAACAACTGCCTGGACCAAAGGTAACTTTTAATGGTTGTTTTTATGTGACTCCTTCAGTACCCGCCTCCATTGCCACAGCCCCAGAATTCTAACATTGGCTGTGGTCTCAGCTAGCTGATAAGCTTTTGTGCCCCGTGGTGTTTTATTTTAAATTTAATTTTTTATTTTTATTTTTCTGGAATAAAGTTTGCTTCTGGTTTAATAGACTTTGGTGATCTATCCCCCATTATTGCATGATCCTGGACCCAACAGTTTTCTTCTAAAATTCATTTCAATCTCTTGGCAATTAATAATAATAAGAAACGAAGTCTTCACAATAAGTTGAATACTTAAAGAGTTATGGTATAAAGAAGAATGCATCTATGAACACTATTGTTAACTAGTACAATTCCTACAGTGGACAGGTGAAAAACAACAAAACACAGCAGTATTAGTCAAGAGACATTCTTACCCCAAAGCCATGCAGGAACAAATATAAATTATGATAATGACAGAAAGAAATGCCTCTGGCATGTTCATCTTGTAACCACAAAGTCTTACCTAAAATCAAGGAAATGGCACTGTGAAACTATATTGCTTTGGAGCCTAAGATACCTGTCAATCTTCATGTTTCACCTAAAAGATAGATGTATCCATGCCACAATTCTCACAAAAAGACAGTGAACAGAAATAGAGAAAACATCAAGGAAAAGCCACCCATCAGCACTGTGGTCACTGCTCTTCCTTGGATGGCTCTGCTGAGGTATTTTGAGCTCAAAACAAGACTCAATTTGCCTCTGTGAAGGCTGTCTCAGAAAAAGGCCACAGCTCCTTGAATGCATAATAAGAAGGAGTTCCTTTTAACTATTCCTGGCTGCTGTCTCCCTCAGGACTGTGACATCACTGAAGAGAATTCTATTCTTTTCTTTTTTTTTTAACCTGTTTTTAATTTTAGTTATGTGAATGTTTTGCCTGCATGTGTCTGTGCACAGTATCTATAGAGGCCAGAAGAAGGCAGGAGATGCCTGGGACTGGAGTCCAGTCAAATGGTTAGCTACCATGTGAGCTCTAAGAATAGAACCCGGGGCCTCTGTCACAATACCCATGGCTATTCATTGTAGAGCCATTTCTCTAGCCCCCCTTTTATTTAACATTTATTTTGTATATTTTATTTAAAAGATATTATACCACATTACCCTATTTTATCTTCACTCCATCCCCTCTCAAATACTTCCCTTCCCACTTCTTCCCTGTAAGTTATGCATGAATGAGTGTGCTGAAATAGATGAAGACAACCTGCTGAGTCTGGTTTTTTTTTTTTTTTTTTTAGCTTTATAAAATAATTGCTGACATCTTGATAGGGAAGTCATCTTGACTAGCCCTGGCTGCTGTCTGTCTCAGGGCTGTGACATCACTGTGGAAAATTCCATTCTTTGCTTTTTCTGACTTTTAAAAAATGAAATTATCTGAGTGTTTTCCATGCACATGCACATGTCAGTGCACAGTACTTACAGTGGCCAGAAGAAGGCAGGAGATGCCTGGGATGGGAGTTACAGCAAATGGTTAACTACCATGTGGATTCTAAAAATGGAACCTGGGTCACCCATATAATTTCTTGTGTGGAAGGAGCAGTGGCCTTCCACTGAGCTGGCCTGCTTGGAGGCAAAAGCATCTTCATTCTGAGGTTAATATATTTCATCATAACCATTCATTTAAGAGCAGAGCAAACAGTGCTGTTAAGTGACTTTTCCTTGAAGTTCTCTGTACTTGTGTTCTCTAACTTTTCTGTCTGTGAGAATGGCATTGGTATAGTTATCTTTTAGATTGAACTTCAAGATTGACAGGTTGCATAGGCTCCAAAGCAATATTTTTTCACTGTGTCATTTATTGATTTTCAGCTAAGACCTTGTGGTATAAGATGAACATGTCAGAGGCATTTCTTTCCATGGTATTGTAAAATAATATATATATATATATATATATATATATATATATATATATATATATATATATATATTTCTGCACGACATTGCAGTAAGAATACTCCTAAATATCTCTGCTTTTACATTGTGATCATGTTCTGAAGTGGATTTGTTTACTCACCTGTTTAGGAATAGGGAGAATTCTACATGAACATGTCCGGACTTCCTAAGTAAAATCCACATACTTCCTTTGTTTAGGAAAAACATACTTTCTTTGCCTCCTGCAGGAAAGAAATCTTTCTCATTTCTTCTTTCTTGGCTGTTGTGATGGCTACTCTTACTAGTCAAACTGACTACCTCTGGAATTAACTAAAACCCAAAGGGTTTGGTATACCTGTGAGGGATTTTTTTTTTTAATGTTTAGAAATTAAAAACCCATCTTTAATCTTGATAACTTGGGGTGAAATCCACCTTCAGCTGCTTGGTGGCTGTGTACACCTTTAACTCAAGCACTCAGGAGGCAGAAACAGTTGGTTTTTCCTGAGCTTGAGTCTGGCCTGGTCTACAGAATGAGTTCAGGGCTACACAGATAAACTCTGTCTCAAAAACACCAAAAAAAAAAAAAAAAAATCAAGGGAAGTTTAAGATCCACCTTTAATCTGGATTGCACCTCTGGTAGCAGCCAACATATATAAAGTATATGGAAGGAGCAAGCTCTCTTTCTCTCTCTTTACCTCCTTGCCCTAGCACTAGCTACCGAGTTCATTCCTTTACCAGCATTAGAGCCTACTTGGTATTTTGGTATATACTGAAGACCAGCTGAGACATCCAGCCTCATGAACTGAACAACTGCTGGACTCTTCAAATTTCTATTGGTAGCAGCCGTTGTTGGACTACCTGGACCACAGCTTGTAAGACAGTCTATTAAATCAACTTTCTACATACATGGAGAGATTCATTCTACAATTCCAGTTCATGTAGAGAACCTTGACTAATACAGTTGTGTTTTTTTGCATCTGTCCACTGAGGAAGATGTGCTGGCTAACAATGGTGCTCATAACCGCATTCTTCCTAGATCCATTAGTCTCTAAGTATTCAACTTTCCATGAAGACTACTCTTTATTATTATTTAATTTGCAAACACTCTGCTCTGAATTTCAGCAATAAAACCCCTTAAGCAATGGAGTCATCATCCAGCTCTCTGATGAGAGAAAGACCTATTATTTTGTTTCTGATCTAGTTCCTGCTTTTCTTTCCTGGTTGTCTGAAGTCCCTGTGACAAGTGGGTAAAAAGTGCATTCAATTTACCCGACCTCAGTGTGAAGCCACCTAACAAACATCTCCTTTTGTGTGCTTAAATCTCTTTAGTTGTTAATATTCTGAGTACCCTTCCACTTGTGTGACAGGGAATCACTACACCACACATAGTGTAGTAGGCTGTACAAGTTAGCCAGCCACATTGTGTCCAGGAGGATGAAGGGGAAGTGCCTATGGAGAGCAGGAAGAGAGCAGGGTCTGCTATTAGAGCCAGGGGCAGGTGCTATTGAAATGCATCTCTCTGCTGCTTCAGAAAAGGTCTGGGTCTGGGGTGAAAGGCTGGGTCAGGAATCTTTGTGCTGTATCTTTAAGCACAGTGTAACCATATGGGAGGTGCTCTTGTCACTCAGGCTTCACTAGCCAATCAGGCCCTCCCGGCGTCCTGCCCGTTAGAAATTGCTTAAGGTCCTTCCAGTCACCAGCTTCAGGCTTGGCTTTGAAAAGAAGCTGGCGCCAGTGGTTTTGTATGCTCTGCTGTGAGTGCTGCTTCAAGGAGCCGAGCAGAGAGCATGGTAGAGCTGGAAAACCACGATATGGTGAGTTAGGAGCCTATCCCCAGACTGGGAGGAGCAGCCAGTTGAGCTGTGGGAGCCAGTGTGGTGGGTCCTCCCCTGGCTGGGTGGGAGCCCGTGGGTGGACGCAGAGTTCATCATGTTTTTGCCTGGTTTTGCATGGTCCAGCATGGTCCTGCTGGTCCTGCATGCTCCAGTGTTGTTTTGCGTGGTCCTGCATGGTATTTGCAATTCCTGGGCCTGCTGGCAGCCTCTGTGTAACTTCACTCTTCAGGCTGCATCTGTGCAGAGCGTTGGGAGTGGGACTGTACTTTGAAATAATCTTGTTGTTGACATCACTGTGAAATGTCAGTGCCCTTAGTGTTTATGTTGTTGCTATGGAACAAAGATTTGCCGAATTCAGAGAGTCGTGGTCCCATGTTTTCTGTATCTTCCAGAAGTACTGTATTTTGAACTTATTACATTAGGTTTAGGATCCATTCTGTGGAGCTCATAAACAGTATCTCCTGTGTAAAGTGGCACTCCACCGCTCAACTGTGATGTAGAAAAGTAGAATTGATGGCAATAGAATTGATGGTACAAGGTAGTACCAGTTGTTAGGAGACATTAATTCACAAAGTAGAATTTAGGTAAGGGAGTGCTGCATCACGAATACCCCAAAGATAACTAGTATGCTAACCATGCTGGTTAGAAATTAGTATGATAAAGTGTAATTGTTTGTTCCCCATGATTAACCAACCATATTCCCATAACCAAGGAGACAGCCCTGATATACAACCAGCAGAAAGTCCCATCCATCCATCCAAAAAAAAAAAAACAAAACAAAAAACAAAACAAAACAAAACAAAAAAACAAAAATAAAAACAAACCAGCCTCTAAATGCTACTCAAGGTACTCAAGGGACCATTACAGGGTCACAGCCAACATTAAGTCCTGGTGTGCCATAAAGGTATGTTAATTCTAGAACAGGAACATCTCCAGTCTTTTTGAAAAGCAGTTTTGAGTCAAGATCTTCTATGTTGATTGAGTTGGACTTAAACCTTGTCTGTAGCCACACAGGGCATTGCCCTTGTTATCTTCCTGACTGACCACCCTAAATCTTAGATTATACCTCTGCAGCACCACAGAGTTCTAAAATTGCCAGATTGAGTCACATAGTGGACTGTCCATTGCAGAACAGGGAAAGGATTTGGGTGTGGAGCGTGGCTTCTACCTGCAGACCAGAAGAGGAGGAACAGTGTACTCTGTACACTGCAGGGGGAAACAGACTAGACAATAGCTTGATCACAGACTGAAGTTGAAGGCAGTGAGCTGCAGGGGTTTCTGTTACAAAGAAGGACTGATGGGGCATGGTGAGTGACTTTCTCTATAGTTTTCCTGCATGGATTAATCCTTTCCATGTGAGTAAAGACAGACAGAATCGATGGGTATACAGTTTTGGGAAGATAGCTTGAACTGCTAAGTATTCAGTTCCCAAGTAGAGAACTCTCCTATGTAGATATGTGCAATCCTGGTTGACACAGTTCACTCAGAGGTTTGAGACACAGGCCTTTGGCTGTAATTCCATGTGTTAGCTTACAACACTCAGTGGCTAACACTTTACCTGGGTCAAAGTCATACAGTCTCTTCTTAATGGTATTCTCTTTACCAGGGCATTACCTCCTCCCTTTCATCATCAGTATACCTAAGTATCCTTCCAATTATTTTTATCATTATAAAACATCAATTATTTGTATCATTTTTAAAATTCATTTTCTTTAAATGCATTATTGGAATTTTTTTTTACTATTTATCAATGTTTCCCAGTGTCAGAATTTCATTCCATTTTTTCTTTTTCTTTTTTTTTTAAAGATTTATTTATTTATTACGTATACAGAAGAGGGCGTCAGATCTCATTACAGATGGTTGTGAGCCACCATGTGGTTGCTGGGAATTGACTTCAGGACCTCTGGAAGAGCAGTCGGTGCTCTTAACCGCTGAGCCATCTCTCCAGCCCTCATTCCATTTTTTCTTAATGCTATTTATTTATTTATTTATCTATTTATCTATTTATATCAGTTTAGAGCAGTGGTTCTCAACATTGGAGATCATGGCTCCCTTGGGGAGATCAAATGACCCTATCACAGGACGACTGACCAAAGACCATCAGAAAGCACAGACAGATATTTATACTATAATCCCTAACAGTAGCAAAAATATAGTTATGAACTAACAGTGAAAATAATTTTATAGTTGGGGGGTCACCACATCACGAGGAACTATATTAAAGGGTCACAGCATTAGGTAGGTTGAGAACCCCAGGTTTAGATCAGTGTCTCTTGTAGCTCAGGCTTGCCTCATTATATAATAGAGAATTGCATTGAACACCTACTCTTGCCTCTGCTGCTCAGTTCTGGAAAGACAGTCCTTAAACTCCTTCCAGGCTGAGCCTTGACTGGCTTGTGGGAAGGCAAAAATAGACCAGTGAATGAGTCTCCTCCAACTTCTCTAGATTTTATTATGAATTTACAAATGAAGTGGGACCTGTGTATGAATTGAGTTCATTGGCCAACTGTAAAGCAGGTGTAGTCACAGCAGAGAAAGGGAAGGCCAAGGAAGATCATGAAAGCTTTCCTGCTGTGACTGTATTTGACATTAGCAAAGAGTAGTTAGGTAATCCATTTTAGATGATCAATAAATGTTCTGACCAGCCATTTCTTGAGTCCGCAGACCAGGCTATCTAGAACCTGAATAAAGAATTGAATTTTCATGGAACCAAATGACTATAGTTACACCAGTTCAAACTAAGTAGTAGAACTGGATAAAATGGTGTGGCCCTGCCTAATATGACTGTGTTTTCCAGGTTTAAGATATATACCCAGAGAGAAATGATATGCGTAGTACTCGGTGTGATCTAATACAAATCCCTAGTTTCTGGAGCACATGGCCATGAAGCCTGTTTCAATATTTTTTTTGTTTTGTTTTGTTTTCTTTTTTTCCCTTTTTTTTTGTATTTTTTTCCTTTTATTTTTATTTTACAATACCATTCAGTTCTACATATCAGCCACAGGTTCCCCTGTTATCCCCCTTCCCACCCCCTCCCCTTACTCCC